GAAATATTCATTCTCTTCTGCTGAAGCAACCAATACTACAGAAGAGGATGGATGCCTCTTAGTCTGAAGCTTTGACCATTCTGCCATGGACAGCCCTGCTAAGAGACCACTCTAGTAAAATAGTCTGACCCCCAGGTGACATTGCTGTTGGTTTCTCCAGCATTCTCAAAACCCATCATTACATTAAGGCGTACATTCAAGAGGGGGCTTTGGCCACATACAGTGTTTTTTTAAGTAAATATATAAAATGCTACACAATAGGACGTTAGAAACAGCCAATTAGAATAACCCACAAAATTCAGAAGTACTGATGATACCATAGTGAAAGCTAACTCACATGCTAAAATTACTCTAGGAAATTTTAAAAAGTCTTTGTGTACCACAACTTGGTGCCAGGCATGAGACGGGAAGAGTATTCTTGGCAAGTTGCCCCAAGTAGGAGTTTGTTTTAAAGGTGGCAAAAGAGAGAGGAAGAGAGAAAAATGAAAAGAGGAAACAAACAAGAAGAAAAGTAGAAACATGGAACTGAGACCATTGGGGTTAGTTATGGATCCCCAGTCATTCACTTACTCTGTCTTATTGGCAGAGTACGGCTCGTTAGACAAAACTGATATTATCAGTGCTTTGCAATACTTTCGATGTGTGATAGTATATTACAAGCACTATGTCTCACTGGAACAGAAGGAGGCATCTGAAGATGAACCCTGGGGAATCGGAATCCAAAACCATAATGTATTGCTGTGATATATTTTATGCAAGGGTAATTTATCATTGCAAGGAGTATTGGATGGCATAATGGATTCTCTACTACTATTTTTATTTGTACAAAGAGAAGGTAGTAAGGTTGTCTTATCCCTGACAAGCCACGGTACATTTGCTGCACCCGTTTATGCAACAGGAAGGATGAAAACAAGTTAATTTCACAATTCATGCCAATGAAATTTTGTATTGAGACTCAATAGTGTTATATTAAATTCATATTAATTTGCTTTTCATAATTTGCTACTATTAAATTCAATTCTGCCATGCTCATCTCCCAGTAGGGAGTCGGAAGGAGCAGTTGCTGGGAGAAGTGCTCCAAAGAAACTTCTGCTTTGCTCTTCCGTGAAAGATTTGAGGGAAAGGAGCTCTCTGTATCTGTTATATTTCAGGTGAACAGGAACAGTGGATAGGCTACTTTTCATAATTATCTGGTCACTGAGGGCACATTTTGTGTATTATTTTTAATGGGTAAAGAGTATAGTCTTGTATTTATATGCTGTTTACATAATTAGAATTTGAAGTGGTTCCAATGTTTTCCTCTCATTTTGTACACCTTGAACTTCTTAGCAGGGAGCCACACTACCACCCCTGTAGTCCTACATATTTTAAGGCTCCGCTACCTTGTTGGGGCATGATATATAAATGGTTTTAATAGCTTCACAACCTCACTTTTCATGTGTTAAACTGAAATGTCCCAGACACAATAAAATAGTTGACAATCCAAGTTTATATCTTTCTTGTTCAGGCATAGGAAAGCAAATAATAAAGACAAGGTTAGGAGAAGAAAGAAAACAACTGGAAATAAATACCATACTGAATGAGATTAAACACTGTAGGAGCTGTTTAGTGCAAGCAGCAGCACTCAATTATTCTAAATGGAGTAAGTAGACAGTTTTATGATTTAAATTTTATTTATCTGAGGGCTTTCTTGGCTGTAGAGATAAGGGATCTCGGATAACAGGCCAACATTATTGACAAGAATGCCTACCATATGAAGTGTTTAATATATATAATTAAATCAATATTTCTGAAACACATAAAGCACACTGGGAGCTGCATATTGGTGTAGGAAGGCCTTTGCCTACCATATGAAGTGTTTAATATATATAATTAAATCAATATTTCTGGAACATATAAAGCACATTGGGAGCTGAAGGATGTAGGAAGGATTTCAGATTCTGTGTAGGCTTTTTTGCAAGCCAAACATTGTGAACTTTCAGATATCATAAAAATCACCCACTAACTACATTGTGAAACAGAATTTGATGGCAGGGTTGGTGATGCTTCTGATAGTGACTGAGCAGTCCCAGAGTCCCAGAGGGGAAGGCAGAGGAGGGTTTCCCGTTGTCCTGGCAGGGCAGGCAGGATTAGTGGCAGCAGCAGGCTGGAAATTGCTAGGCCTGAGGAAGCAATAGGATTTCAGAAATACATGTAGCAATAGAGCATGGTCTTGAGGAATGAGCGGGAGGAGAACGCCTAAGATGGGAAAGCAATCTGAAAAGGCAAATGGCTAAAAACGAGAAGTGCACATGAACAAGGACCCCTGGAAACAAGGGAGGCTTAAGGCATGCAACACCAATTTGAAGCAACTCTTTGAGTGAAGGCCTCTATTTGTATCAGAATTTTAAAGATCATGTTATCTATCTTTTGTACTGAGATGTCTTACTAAGATTTAACTGTGTTACAACTCATATTTGCTGAGGGATAAAGATTTATTTGTGTAATTTTATTCCACTTCTTCATCTAGAGAAGGAACATGCTGTCCCCCTCAAAAACCAAAACAAAACCTCTTGGCAGCTAACAGCAAGTCCTACCATATATCATCCCCCCAAAAGTATTTTTAAAGTTCCAATACAAGCAGCAAAACAGTAAAGCTGCTGCAAGAAGCAATAGCAATCGTCTAAAAAGTACAGAACAGTTATGGGGGCAATTTGGTTGTCATCCAGATCTATTGCCTATAGAAATAGCAGCATCTTCACCAAATGCGTATAAACAAACAGAATGGAGGCCAAAGGAGCCTCTTGGGGAAGACAGTTCCAGAGCCTCTCCCCAGAAACAACACCGAAAACTTCCCCAGAGCATTCCAATATCATAGGATCTTACCTCCTTATGACAGTGCCTTTAGAGCATATGAAGACCTCCATAGACTGGTTATCTTAGACTTTTTCCTTGTTCCTAATAATTTTTATTTTTAACAAAACACAAAAAACACAGAACAGTAACAGCAACAACTAATAGCCACACAGTAATGATCTGAGATACATGGAACTGGACTTGAAAGCATTAGTAGTGATATGTATGTATATCGTACACACCTAAATATCCAAAATCCCTGTTTCAAATCCCTAATATAGATTGAGCGAATGTCAAAATGGGTGTTGAGATGAAATTGTCCTTGGTTTTCTCTCATCAGATGCTAGTGTTGTGAGGTTGGTTATCTCAGACTTAATTAGATAATTAATTAATTAGATATCTCAGACTTCCAGCAATTTGTGTCCATGTGGCATTTGATACCATATGTCGTAATCTTCTTATTTTTAATTCTAGCTTTCCCAAGGATCTACATGCCTAGTTTAGAGAAACTTGTGGTAATGTGACTGGATGCAGAAATCCCTTTTCTTGGTTTTTTCCAAGTACTTTGTGTGCCACCATGGCCAGAATCTGCTGACAGAAGCATTCAGTTTCTACCAGGGTTAAAGATGGAATGTCTTGCATTCATTTTATCTCTTGAAAAAAAGAAGATTTTTTAATCTACATCTTTTGGATATTCCACCCAGAGAAAATACATGGGGCTCCACTGGCTCAATTTCAAGATCTGACATTGCCTGGTAATAAAAAGGTAGGCTATATTTTCAGTTGCTTTTCATTTTCGTCTGGGAAATTTTACTCCAGTGTGTCCTTTCTCGGATCTATCTGGTACTTGTTAGATTTCCCCATCCCCATCCATCCTAGTGCATCCCATGGTTCATACTTGAGACCATTTAAATATCTGGTCTGATTCTTCACATGGTTCTCCTAATTCTCTTTCCTATTAAACTAGCTTTTCCTTCCCTCCCTTACAGTTTCTATTTCTTTATAGTCACTGCCTCAGTAAAGATTGAAGTCTTCTGTCTTTCTTGCTGTGCCCTTACTGAGCAACATAGTGCTTGCTCCAAAGTAGCCTTAGAAAGAAAAACCTTATTTCTGCTGTCCAGTCTAGAGCCAGGCTCCTAGTGATAACATGGCTGTCCATTCTAAAACACAATAACCCATCTCAGGGGTTGTTTCCTCAGTCCTTGGATTGTTATTTCTTTCCTCTTTGCCTGCTCCCTCCCTGTATCCAAATGCCTTTGTGGCTATGTGATACTGGCAAATGTGAACTTGCTTGCCACCTCTGCAGCCTAATGAAACAATCTATGAACAACCGTAGGGTTGCACGTAACAGTAACCCATAGTTTGAACAAACTAGAGTTCACAAGGCAACACTAAATTGGGTCCTCTTTTTTCTTAGTTGTTCATAGATACCAACCCATGGTTTATTAGCATGGCCTGGTTTGTACATTAGTACAATCCAGAATTTGACAGTCTATAATATGGGTTAGCATTATGAGCAAACCAGGTCAACTGTGGCCAGTCAGAATGGAAGCATGGAATAGAGTCTTACCCTCATATACTCATGATAATGTGTTACATTTAGTAATCTAGGCATAGCTAGCAAAAGACTTATGGATTGCCTTGATGTTCAGAGTTCACAATGGAACTTAGTTTGCGGTTGCTTTGTAGATCACCTGCTGCTGAATTTCTGAAACAGGAGATAGACTTGGCCCATTGCAGCTCCTAGGCATCCTATTTCTTAAGCAAATCTCTACATTGTATGAATGAGACTCCAGGAAAAGCTGGACACTTTAAGCAAAAGAAAAAAAGGTATGCTTCATAGTGCAGAACTGGGGAATCTGTGATATTCCAGATGCTGTTGGATTGCAGCTCCCATAATCTTCAGGAAGGCTAGTCAGTGGTGATGATGTAAGTGGCAAACCAGCAACATCTGGGGAGGCACGTGTTTTCTCTCCTTCCACGGTGAGCACTGCCTAATTTTGCTATATCTTTGAACAGGTTACCTTTTAGCCTTGTAGAAGTTGGTGATGGAGATATGTTTTCCTAACTTTTTCATGTACTTATGCTCTCTCTCTTTCTCTCTCTCTCTGCAGGTCATTCTTATGCAATAGGCTAACAGTAATTTAAATGTGCAGGATGAAAAAATGGCACAGGCACGGCTGGTACCACCAGGACCTGACAGCTTCCGCTATTTTACTAGAGAATCTCTTGCAGCTATTGAAAAACGCTGTGCAGAGGAGAAAGTTAAAAAGCCCAAACAAGATCATTCAGATGCTGATGATGAAAATGGGCCAAAGCCAAATAGTGATTTGGAAGCAGGAAAAACTCTTCCATTTATATATGGAGACATTCCTCCAGGAATGGTGTCCGAACCTTTGGAGGACCTCGACCCATATTATAGCAATAAAAAAGTGAGTTTTTGTCAATACTGGCTGGATTTTAGCTGAGTTTATTAGCTTTTGCAAATGTCTAATATTATATTAATCTCCAATGTTTTTAACTTCTGCAGACCTCTTTCTGCACTTGAAAACCACCTTAAAATCATTTGGTGTTTCAGAAAGGTTTGCACAAAGACATTTTACTCTGGGCACCATCCTTTTACTAACACTCATAAGCTTCATGTTGGTCTAGCTTCAGGGATTAGACCTGGTGTGTAGAACTTAAGCCAGGGGGCCAAAACCATTCATCCTGGTTTACCAGCCTACCCCTTTAGAGTCTTCCATATGTCACCGTCCTCTTGCCCCAGCCCAGTCACTGATCTTTTGATTGTTTCCTGGCTTTTGTGCCATTTTGCTCACATTCTAAAAGGTTGAAATGCCTAAACTAAGCTTTAGTTACAGGTGGTGAGAGATGAAGCTAAAATATGCCAGTAGCTTTGTTTCCACCCATTTGGTCTTTGACCTTGTCCACTTTGCGCAAAGATCTGCTCATCATTGTGGTCTTCTGAGAGCGTCACCAAATGGAATTTAGTCTTAAGTTGATTACCTTTGCAGTGGAGAAAGGCTGGCATATGCTGAGGTCCAGTCACATCACTAGGAGCTGCCTAATCATTGCTGTTTGCTGCTGCTGCTTGCTTGCTCAGTTGTTCTTTATCAAGTGAGTGGACAATGATAAAGGAGAAAATTCACTCCCCTGTCAAAATTTCTTCTTGACAAGCTGACTGGCAATAGTGGTAAGGAGGAGCTACATCAGTATTCAGGAGCAACGGAAGTTAGGTGGAGGTAGGACCACTGTGGGAGGGAGAACCCACTCCAGGAGGAGTGGCTTGCTGAAAGCCAACAGCCATTACTGTATTAATAGCTGACTCTTTAGATGCACTGCAATGCAGGAGGGGTTTTGTGGCACCCATTGCCTCAGAAGTCGCTATCTTTGACATGTGGTTGTGCTGCTTGCCATTGCTTGAATGGCTCTCATTTAAGAGTCTCTGCCTGCCATCCACTAAACTCTCCAGATCCTGAAGAGGGGCAGAGCTGGGGAGGAAGAGGTAGAGATTTGAGAGTATTTTGACCAGTGAGTGGGAAAGTAGGAATCCAACAGGAAGTAGTGAAAAGGAATAAAGGAAGAAGGAGAAGGTTGGGGAGGGGAAAGGAGAAGGAAACTTGAGACAGAGAAAGGGTAGAGAGTGTAGAAACAATTAAATATCTAGGCTGCCTGCTTCTTGTATTTCTCCACTGATTTCTCCTACATGCAGGAATCTGATGGATGCCTATATATCCTATACTCCTGAATACTGGGGTTCAAAGGCCTGGATTCAGCATCTACTGGGGCAACAGTGGTGTTGTGCAACTGGGCAAAAGGGCACAGCCTGGAGGAAAGCTGCAGCAGTAGCAGAGGAGCTGGTCAGTGAGTTGGCTAGAGCCTGCAATCAGCAATGATCAGAGTGGGTGTTGCAGCAGCGGAAGGGCTTTCAAAGCTGGTCCTTGAACTCTTCCTGTTGCACTCATCAGGACCATGCCGGGCCAGCTGAGAGCAAGGGCCTTTCCTTGGAGGCAGTGCTACCTACAGGAAGATCCCACACTGCCCTCCCTTTTACTTGTGCTTCTCAGTATGACAGCTTTTGGGGCCAAAGGAAGTAGTCCTGTGTTCAGGTTCAGACTGAAGCATAATACAGTACATGCACATGACTGGTTCCCAGGACTCAGCAGTGTCTTCTGCACTGGTGAGGCTCAACTCCACCTGGCTCCTGCAGATACTGGGTCCTGCAGCGGAATCCTCCTCCTCCACTTAGACTAGGGAATCTACATCAGCCTCTCCCAATCGCTCTGCTTCCTCCTTCAAGGATAACTTTTCTGAGTAAAATTGTTGAATAACCACAGACAACACCCCTTGTAACAATGCAACCATGTGTTGGTTCACAAGTCCATAAGGGTGGGGGAGAAATGGCGTGTCTGTGTTCGCTGGGCACTTCACCATACTCCCGGCTTGTGGGTCCCCATAGCCTTCTTGAGTCCACTTTAGGAAAATGTGTGGGAAGGTAAGCTAGATGGGAGTAGTTATGCAGGCATACATTCCTCTAAGCTTCTCAGTCACCTTCAGATATTTTAGGGCAAGAAGTTCTCACACATTGAATCACATTGACAAAAACACTCACTTCAACTGCTCTTACCATTAATAATGATGATAATGATGTTAGTGTACTTGCTGTTGTATCATAAAATATTAATACATTAATATTATAATCATAAATCTGTATATTATAATTAACATAATACATTAATTCAAATGGGCAGTATTTTAATCCAGTTGCTAAAGATGCGATATCACAAGTCAACAAGAGCCTACATCTTCCTCTGAAATCAGGGTACCAACAAAATATATCGGGTAATTATTTGTTTATAAATAGGTAACTAGTTTTCATTGTACTTTCTTTTTGTTTTCCAGACCTTCATAGTATTGAATAGAGGGAAGGCAATTTTTCGATTCAGTGCCACATCTGCCTTGTACATTTTAACCCCTTTCAATCCTGTCAGAAAAATTGCTATTAAAATTTTGGTACATTCATATCCTTTTGAAGAAGTTACCTTTTAGATGTTTGAAATGTAATATGAAGTATTTTTCTAATGCTTTTTGAAAAGTGACTGCCATGTTTACAAATAGATTTACAAATAGAAACAATGAAGAGTTTTGCCAAAGCCTAGTACATTTATTTAAATGCAAGTTTATGTGGACTATAGTGCACTTCATTGGATGTCCATTAAGTGTGTTCTGGTTCAGAGAAGCTTATACCAGAATAAATGTGCAAGTCTTTAAGGTACCATAGAGTTCTGTATTGTTTCTGCTGCTAGAGACTAATGCAGTTCTCCTCTGACAATTTAGAAATGAATGTGTCATATTGGGAGCATCAGCTCTATTCAGCATGGCCAATGGTCAAGGATGATGGGAGTAATCTAGTATCCAGAGAGCTACATGTTCCCTACCACTACTTTAAAGTAAGGGCTACTGACATGAATAAGTCCCTCCCCACGCACCTGCATGGCAATAAGGCAATTCATGTATTCTGTAGGTGCTGCTGGTGGTTTTGGTGGTGGCAGCAGCAAGCAGCAGATGAAGGTGAGAGAGAGACTGGGCATGGGAAGAATTTTGGAGACTTAAGGAAAGGGTTTGGAGTTTGCTGAGACTAGCAAGTGCTGTCATTAAGGGTGCAGCCTTGTCTTGCAGTTCCCAGTGTGGCTGGCTGGGAGCTGCAAGGCTTTCTGTCCAAATATGCCTTGGATTGCACTCTAAGTTTATTTTGTAATATGATATCTGATTTAATGGCTGATATTCCTTGACTGTCTTTTACATTATTCAGCATGCTTATTATGTGCACTATTTTGACCAACTGTGTATTTATGACCATGAGTAACCCTCCGGAATGGACAAAGAATGTAGAGTAAGTCAAAACCCTCTTTGAAAAATAGTAATCTGTATTGGTTTGATGCTATTTCAGGAAATGGCTACTAGTTTGATATTCATTATGCATGCCTGATCAACAGAACAAAGAGTGATTGGAAAAACTGATAAGGGGACTGACTCCAAGGACTTGTGATGTGCATTGCACACACACACAGAGTAAATGCAAAAAAAGGATTACATTGATTGTATCTCAGGGTTGTTTGATGCAGGCAGTAAGCAGGGTTGGAAGGCCTTGAAAAGGGATAATGGAGAGTCAGGAATAGAGGTGCAGTGTAGATGAGGCTGCTACAACTTGCACAAGGCTTTTGTTTTGAAGAAGAAGAAATGGGTCAAAAGGAAGCACTCGGTGCAGGACAGGGAAGCAATTTGGGGAGCAGACAACAAGAGATAGGAAAGTAGGAGTGAGAGTAAAAGGAAACAAGAATGATGATCATGTGAACCTGTGGACCTTGCATCAAAATCTTGCAATCTGTGTCCTTGTTCAGACTTCAGTGCAGAAAGCCGGAGAGTTGTCCTTTTAAAGATGGTGTAGTGGTTAAGAGCATGGGACTGGGACTCAGACAATCTGGGTTCTGGTCCCCGGGGCTCAGCCTTGGAGCCAACTGGGTGACTTTGGGCCAGTCACAGAGTCTCAGCCCAACCTACCTCACAGGGTTGTTGTTGTGGGGATAAGATGGAGGAGGAGAATGATGTAAGCTGCCTTGATCCCTTTGTAGGAAAAAGGCAGGATTTAAATTGAAAAATAAATAAATAAATATGCTACTAGCTTTCTATCCCCCTGAGTCCAGCAACAATCACCATTCCATGCTCCCTAAGCACACTCAGTCCTCTTTTGGCTATTTCAGAGGGTATTTTTCCTTAAAGAATTTTAGTTTTTCTTCAAACACTGTGATCTTCCGACAAGACCACTGGTAATTGTGTGTGTGAAGATGCTGTTATTTCGGCTAAAAGACCAGTGCTTAGATTCTAAGGTTTAGAGAATACATTCACTGCTAGGATATGGGAAGGGAATCTAGAAAATCGTTTTTGTGATATATGAAGAGTATCTTGTTTGATTCCTTATGACTGCTTCACATGTATTATTTTCCTATGCAGAAATAAAATGATTGTGAGACTCTAGGTGGAGAAACTGAAGAGCTTACGTATTTTGATGGCAGTATACTTGTTGAGAGGCTGATTTGACACAATTTTGTTGTGGCAATGCAGAAAATGCATGATAATGTATATTATGTAGCAGAATTTTGGCTTTTGCCCTGGTGATTTTTATGGTAGATAAATTTCTCTAGTGTAGTGTGCCTTAGGGCTAAAGCCATTCATTTATTGCATGAATACAAAATAGTGCTCTGTAGAAACATAGCTGCCAATAAATTATTTAGGTTAGGAGAAGTTAGGTTGCAGTAGTTAGACAGAACAAGGCCTACAACTCCCGATATTCCTTGGATTTTGAAGACTTTTTTCCCTAACTAAACATAGGATCACACTTTTAATTGTTTATCATGTGCTGATTTAAACCACATTTCATGCATATGACATTTAGTGCAATATGGGATCACCGACCATTTCAAAAGATCCATAGGTTACATATTGATACTGGGCAGGGAATGATACGAAACATCTAAAAAGTAATTGTGCTTAACACTTTATTTGCATGATTTTAGGTACACTTTCACTGGAATTTATACCTTTGAATCACTTATAAAAATTCTTGCAAGGGGCTTCTGTTTGGAAGGTTTCACTTTTCTTCGAGACCCATGGAACTGGCTTGATTTCAGTGTCATTTTGATGGCGTAAGTGCTTCAACAATTACAAAAAACTTATAAGGGCATGAAATTAGTGTCAGTGTATATCGTAGTAGGAAGCATGCATTAATTAAAATAGGCAAAAATGTGGGCAGTGAAGTTACCTTATTGACACACTTTCCAGTTCTTCATCTGCAACAATACAAAAGTGTGTCTACTTGTTTTTTATATTTTAGGGACACTAATTCCATGTCCTATATTCATTCTGTTTATTAGAATGGGAAACATTCAACTTCATGCTACTTTGTCCAATTATTCTAATTTAGCTTTTTAGATCCAAAGTGTGAGTTTCAATTCCACTGAATTAACTGCAGGCAGGTAGAAATTAGCAAATGTGAATATATGTTGGATTTAGTCTTGTGAAAGGTGAATTCACCAAAGTGGTCTTGATGAAAGACCCTAAGTGATTAGCTTCAGCTCTGCCTCAATTCTGAATAACTGTGATTTAATTCTACAGGTATGTAACAGAATTTGTAAACCTAGGCAATGTTTCAGCTCTTCGAACTTTCAGAGTATTGAGAGCTTTGAAAACTATTTCTGTAATCCCAGGTAAGATGTGGACTGGTTTGATGAAGTGCCAGGCCCCTTGTGTATCTCCAACTGTTTTTTGTGTGTTGTCATTGTGTTTGTGTGTGAACTCCCCTACTGCAGATATGTGACAGAGTTTGTGGACCTGGGCAATGTCTCAGCGTTGAGAACATTCAGAGTTCTCCGGGCATTGAAAACAATATCAGTCATTCCAGGTGAGAGCGAGGTTAAACACAGAGGCTGACTTGTTATTTCCATTGAACTCAAGTTTACATTTTTCTAGCATAAGGTTCATAATTACAGCTCATCTTACTAAAAGGCAGGAATCAGAAGATCCCTTGTCTTTTCAAATGTAACATTTATTTTAATTTGCAAAATCAGCCTTTGAGTTTAACAAATGATTGCATGAGACATCTATAGAATACATAGCCTATGCATTACATTTTGTTTTGAGGTTTGCTTTGTGTTGCTGCTCCATTTAAAAATGACAAGGTTGTTTTTTCTCCCTCCAATGAATAGCTTTAACAGTATGGCTTTTGTATTGCCATATTTTTAGCACTTAGTTTCAAGCTGTAATTTTAAACACACTTACTAGAAAGTAAGCTCCATTGAATGCATTGGGACTTACTTCCAGGTAAACATGCATAGGATTGCACTGCACAGTCAGGTTTGACTTAAATTTGAAAGTTATCTTTTAAATTAGTTGTTTAAATGGATCAAGGAGGGCACTGCCTGGAATTATATTAGTGAATGTCAAACTTGGCCTGGGAGTTTACTATCCACCGATTTTTCTCTTCAGTACTGTGTTAAAAATGAACTGTGATAGATTAAAAAAAAAGTTTTTGAAGTAAGAAAAAAATAGTGTAAACCGGGGTGCTTTTGGGGTTTTTAAACTAAAAGCTGTTGTTACATGCAAGCAATCCATGACTGATAAAATCTCTTCTGTTTTGCAATAAATGTGTACATTTAATAAAATGTACATAGTACTTCCATGAACAGACAATTTTTTGCTTTTCATACATTTTCACAAGTGCTGATGCTGTTCATGAAACTTTACTGTTTCTCAAACATAATGTTGTTTGCTGTTTCTGCATGGCATCTTAAATATAGCAAAAGAATGTGTGACATGTCTTCATATGTCTTTTAATCCCTTTCTGCTTGCAGGCCTGAAGACCATTGTGGGGGCCCTCATTCAGTCTGTGAAGAAGCTCTCAGACGTCATGATCCTGACGGTGTTTTGTCTGAGTGTGTTTGCCCTCATAGGGCTCCAGCTTTTCATGGGGAACCTGAGGCATAAGTGCCTCATTTGGCCACCAGACAATTCTACTTTTGAGATAAACATAACCTCCTACTTCAACAGCGCACTGGGAGCAAATGGTACCTTTGTTAACACTACAGTGAGCAACTTTGACTGGGAAGAGTACATTGATAATGAAAGTAAGGATGATTGGTACAACCTGTGTGTGCACATGTGCGTGTATGTAAAATGTACTGTACGTAAGTTGCATCCATTTACGATCTCTCAGCTAACAAAAAGGTCCTTGATTCAGTAGAAGCATCAGTCAGAGGAGGGATTTTCTGCAGCTTTCCTCTCCCTTGCTGCACCTGTCTCTCTAAATCTTCCCTAGAGCATTAGGGAACATTTTGGAACAGTGTGCGGGTAATGCGGCCCTATAGAAAGTGGTGATTGCCAAAATCACATTCCTCCCTTTGCTGTTGACATCAGAAAAAGGACACCAATTGGATACGATCATATGCAATTCACAGTAAAACAAGGGCTTCTCTATATGAGGGGTTTTAACCCACTGCTGTACACAAGCTTCTTTTTTTGTTTTCATTGTGGAGAAAAAAATGTAACCTCTCCCCAGGGCTTTTCTAGGGTTTCGCTCTCTCGGCCTTCGATGTATTCTATTAAATAGCCACAAGGTGGTGCTGTGGTATAACTGCAGTATAGCAGATTTTCACCTTTTCACAAGGCTTTTGTTCCAGTTTGTTGCAATTTAAAATTAAATACCAGTTTTTTTCTCTCTCTAAAAAACAAACAAAACAAATCCCTGAAGGCTGGAAAACTCAGGAGGACAAGATCATGAAAAGGCCCTGCAAACTTCTTTGAGTGAGGCATCATGAGTGCACAATAAATGCTTCATATAGAGAAGTCCAAAGGATCACGTCCAGTGTTAGTCTAGTTCTGGTCTGGTTTATTTCATTGGGATCACAACAGATAGGAGTAACGTTAGATATAAACCAAAAGATTTAAAATAGTCTAGTGGTCTGCCTGTAAGAGAAATTAAAGGAAAATTTAATGTTGTGGGATTAAATAAATATTTGATAAAAAAAAACAACAAAATAGGAATGAAGTGTTAGTAAGAAACTGGTTACACTGCAGTCCTACAAACATTTTATCAAAAGTAAGTCCCAGAGTTCAGTATGGCATTATCAGTGTGTTATGTGTTTAAAGACATAGTTTATCGGATAAACAACTTTTTGAACCATTTAAAAAAAGCTTCTTTCCAATAATCAGGCTGCAGGTATCTTTTTACAAAATTAATTCATGATATTTCAGTCCAAGTCCTTACAAAAGTCCCTTATCTCTCAGATAGGAGGAGCATCTTCCAAGATGGTACATGCTGAAAATTTACATATACTGTCTAAAAACAAAATGTATTTTTCATCTTCTGAATTGTTTTTTTGCCATGTGAGTCTAGTCATGGTACTCAACTAACTAACTGAGTTCAGTGGGGTTTACCTCCAGGAAGCTGGGCATAGAATTGTAGACTAAGATTTGACAATGTGCAAACCTAAATGATATATTACTCTCAGCACAATACTTCTAGCCACTGAGCCCAGCTGGTTGTGGTTTGGATAAGAGATCCTTAGTCATGTGCTTTTTAAAAAGTGATCATTCCATGGGGAAGCATGCCTCTACCATATTTTACTTGTATTAAGCTACCCTTTAGTTTTATTCTAAATCATTGCTATAGCAAAATGTTTGCTCAAGAGTCAATTAGAAATAATAAAATGTTGGCTATGCCCATGTGATTTTTAAAAATGCAATATTTTGCCTTGTTTATATTTGCATGTAAATTAATGTTTAATGCCAGCAACTAGAAATTTGTTTATTTATTTTCCCCCCAATCAGATCATTTTTATACTTTGGAAGGACAAAGAGATCCCCTTCTTTGTGGTAACAGCTCAGATGCTGGGTAAGATTTTTTTTGAATATTCCAGAGAATTTTCTGCTGATGCAATGAGGCTAGAGAAAACCAAACCTCTGATCCAGAGCTACATAAACACTCTTGCACTCACAAGGAGCTTCAGTATGGATGAACTTCCAACTTTGCGCACACATCACGTACATGGTTTTCAAGAGGCCCATGCACTCATGGGAGTCCAAGCTGCACAATGAATGCCCATGCTCTCAAGATACTGCTAGCCCAAGTAACAACTTCCCAGAATCAATAACGCTATAAATTTGTTCTCTCTCTCTTTCAGGTTATTCCACTATTTATTATCCTATATTTCAGGCCATGGTTGGGTCCTTGCAACTATGACCACAAAATGGAGTTTTCCCCGCCCTCTTTCCTCCTGCTGTCCCCACCCCTAGAAGCCAATTCTGAGGGTTGAGTGACCCTTGGGCACGACATTGGTTTTTTGCTTGTTTGTTGCATTTTGATTATATCTTGTCTTTCCTCCAAGAAGTCCAAGGCAGCCTGCATAATTCTCCTGTTCTCCATTTTATGCTTATAACAACAACCCTGTGAGGTAGACTAGGCTGAGAACCAGTGGCCGTTCCAAAGTCACCCAATCAGCTTTATGGTCAAGTGAAGACTAGTATCCAGAGCTCCTATATCCCAGTCCAACATTTTAGACCCCACAACATGCATACTTTGCATGTCAGTTATCCTTGCCACTTTCATGATGGCATGTGACATGGAGAGTTGCACCTAGAAGAGGAGGAAACCATGAACCTCTTTGTACAAGCAGAACTTCTTTCCACTTGCCACAGGTTTCTTTTGGTTTCAGCTAATTTAGAATACTATTTCTAGGTTTTATATAGTAGATTTTTGATATGGTATGTAACATAATTAATCCACTGAAATTTTTGATACAGAAGTTCTCACAAAACGCTGTCATCAAGAAAAAGGCTAGTTGTGTAAATCACAGTTTGGAGTGCAAACAAGTAACTTGGGAATAAGAATATTGACAGACAAGGCTAAAAAGTACAAAACGTACCAAAACAATTCCATGGCGAAGCATGCCTCTACCATATTTTACTTGTATTAAGCTATCCTTTAGTTTTATTCCAAATCATTGCTATAGCAAAATGTTTGCTCAAGAGTCAATTAGTAATAATAAAATAATTGTGTTAAAGTAGTCAAAGTTTGCCCTCCAAGAGACATTTGCTTAGTATTTAATTAGTGTGTGAGCATTTTGCCTTGAAATTAATCATGAATGTCCAGAACTGTAGCTGAGATAGTCTGTTGCATAAAAAATGACCAAGACTCATGTAGTAACTTGAAGACTAGTTAATATTATCAACTGTCCCTGATAAGAAAAAGCCTATAATGAATATAGTCTTATAAGCCAAATTTCTTTTTTATAGGTGGATACAAAGCCACTTGTAAAAGTTAGAAAAAGTGAAATTTCATTGAATTTATTGGGACAATTCTCTGTCAACAGAGGGATTCAAACTTACCCTGAGATCACTGAAACAAAATTGGGAAGATTTGTGTCAGCTTTCCACAAATCCATGTTCCAAATTGCCATATGGTGTTAAAGGGCAGCAACACCCTTATTTAGTGAAAAATAAAATGGTTGTGGGTTTGGGTTTCAATTCTCTCCTGAAATTACTTGGGCAATGGAAAATCCATGTCATAAGGTGTGCCTGGCGCCGAGTTTATTTTCTTTTTAGCACCAGGTCAAAACCTTTTTATTTAATTGTCATTTTAAAAATTAATATTTTAACATTTTAACAGTCACTTTGATTTTCATTTTCATTTAAATTTCTTGTTACTATGTTATTTATTTATAGATCTGATGGTTTTATTGTATTTTGATTGTAAGGATTGTAAGCCATCCTGAGATGCTATGCATAAAGGATGGCATACAAAAGTTTTAAATAAATAAGGTGGTAAGGGTCATAATGACCCTAGCAGTCCTGCTTAGAACGATTAGTTACTTATTAAATCTGCAGTGGCTTATCCTTGAACCTGTTCTATTCATTTTGCACGAGAAAGGCTCATAACGGGTAAGAAAACAACATTTTATCTATCCACATAAAAGATCCATTGCTCATTTTCCTTAACATTAAATCAAATGTACTGGGGGTCCATAGAATTTTTCAGACATCCCCCTCACACACCTTTCGAGAATTCCTGGTGACCTAAGAAATCTTTCCCTGCAACAGTTATTTATTTATTTGTTTGTTTATTTAAAACATTTTTATGCCGCCCCCATCGCAACAAAGCCTCAGGGCGGCTCACAGTTATGTATTTATCAAGCTTTTGGGGTCGTTTTGGCTCCAACTGGAAGACTCCCAGAGCACTTCTTACTGTATATAAGAGTTGTGAATGATGGACAATGTATGCTATTCGTTAGTAAGTGACTAGTAAGGCAGGTCATGTCAAACCTAAAAAGATCAGTTTGTGCTGCAACTCCAAAACATGTTTCTTGTGCTGATATATATATATAAAATGCCTTAAGCACAATTGCTGATAAACTTAACCTATATTTTCAGGATTCTAGATGAACTATCACAACCGATCACTTTTTCACTGGTGTGCCAAGAAAAACTTTGCTCTGGTTGACAGATTTTTTTAAAAAAAATCTTTTCTACATGAGGCTTTTATTGTGTGCTTATCATCCTGCATAGTTATTTACAGGTCCTTCAAATGACATCACCACCTAATTATGCATCTGTTTTTTTAAAGCAATTTTGTGGGAGTTTTGCCACAGTATTGTTTGCTACACGGAAACAATATGCAAATCCCCACCAGTGTACTTGCATTATTCCGCTATACCAGTGCCACAGTACCACCTGGAGGTTATGTAGTGCAAAGTTTAGAAAGCTAGGAAAGAAAAATAAATTCATGCAGAGCTCTGATCTTAATTCCACAATGAAATAAGAAGTAGGAACTGCCAGTGAAATAGACTTGTCTAGAAAAGCTCACAGAAAGCAGAAATGTCCCTAGTGTGCTGTACCCACAACTCCAGATGTATAAATGCAGCATTTTTGGTTTTCAGAAGGATGTGACACTCATTACAGACCAAAAATTGACAATGATTTGCATTGCTTTAGTGCATTAGTGCATTAATATGCCACAGTCTCAAACAAGAAATCTGATCCTGAGATTTTGCACTATTTTTTGAGATTTTGCACTATTTTACTCAGAGAAAATATTCTCTGAGTAAATACAAAAATAAACAGTGCCCAACAGTGTTTGAGGTTTCGCATTGTTGTTTTTAATATACCAGACACTGCCTTTTAAACACCTATTGTATTTGGAACCTAAGCGACCTACAATGTTGTGAACATTCCAAGAGCTTTCCAGGGACATTGAGAGAGGCAAAATCAGCATGGGTTGATTTGCTACTATAGGCCTCAAAAAAAGGAGCAGCTGTTCTCACTGCAGTCAGTACCATGACAGAAATTTGCAGTAGTTATTCACTTCATGTAACTTTTGTCTGCTTGCTTGCTCATACAGCAATGTGAAATGTGGTAACTAACAACATATACATTTCTCAAGCAGGGTGTCATGAGCTGCGCATTCAAAAGCCATAGACCTTTTTCCTTGCAAAGTGTTTTTTACTGACCAAAAGCACAAAACACCCAGAATCTCCAAGCATGCACAAGGATTTGCTGAACCCAATCTAGTGTTCACCTTCAGGAACTTTCCTTATGAGCATGCCTGGGCCCCATCCCTTCAGGAGAAGCCTTCTGAAAGTGAACGTGCCTCCCCTCCACATGTGGATCCTCTCACTGGGCCACCCTTCTCTGTTGGCGATGCAGCATAGCATCAAGAGCCATGCCTGCCTTGCCCGAGTCTGAGAAACTCCTCTTCACCAATTCCCCCGCCTCCAAATTTACATCTTGGTTATTCCCAGACTGCGTCTCTGCTTCTCTCATCTCAGTGTCTCAGCAGGGCCCACATTCCCAGCTGCCCTCCCCTGCCGCTGTTCTCCTTCAAATTCAAATTCCTCTGAAATCCAGCCAGCAGTCCTTGAGAACAAGCATGCAAAGCAACCATCTTCCTCACTCCTGACACAAGGCCTTCTATAGTTGCAAGGATTTTTTAGAGTTGGAAAAAATGAAGAAAAGGCAACTAACATTATCCAGGAACTGAAGGAAAAGTTGCAGTGACTAGGAACGTTTAACTGAGAAAAAGAGAAAAGTGAGAGAAATACCAGAGGTGTATGATGTAATGCATGGTGTAGAGAAGGTAGAATAATAGAGAAGGGGAATAATATTTCTCCTCAAAATGCTAGAACCTAACTATCCCATGGAGCTGACTGATAGGAGGTTCGGGACAGATAAAAGGAACTACTTCATCAAACATCTGCTAAACGTGCTTAAATTACACAATTAAAAGGTGTTGTGTTGGCTTTAAAAAGGGATTAGACAGATTCAAGGAGGGGAAGGTTCTCAGCGGCTACTAGTCCTGATGGCTGTATGCCACCTCTAGTATCAGAGATGGTAAGCCTATGTACACCACTCACTGGAGAACTTGAATCGGATGATGCTAGTGCACTCATGTCCTGCTTGTGAGCTTCTCATATGCAGCTGCATGGACAGAAAGCTGGACTAGAGGGCCTTGGTCTGATCTGGCAGGGCTCTTTGGTTTCCTTGGTTGGAGTTATTGACAGTGACTCGTAACTCATAATGCTCTCGCTGTTATATTTGTATACCCGCTATTGTTAGTGGAAAGGCTTGGGATATATTTAACAACTGATTTATTGTAATTACGTTCCACGTATGTTAATTATGCAAATTTTTATATAAAATTTTTAAATTTAAGGGGTCAGATTCTACATACCTTTTGTGAAAATTTTTACTTTCCATTGCAGGGTGTTATTGATCCAAGGACTAGTGTGCTGCTACATATTTTATTAGAAACAGGAAGGTCTTAATACAGGCATGGTATCTTTCAGGTGCAAATGGTATCATGCCTAATAATGCCCACCAGGTATTTTGTGTGCATGGTTTTCTTTGGGGTACAGTTGACTCCAATACCATTTTTAATTCATGAAGTTTTAAGTTAGTAATTAACATTTTAATAGATTTCAGTGGGATCTAAATCAGACTAACTATGGATACAGCTTTTATAATTCAATTGCATCCTTAGAAAATAATTGCTTAGAAAAACAGTTCCAATTAGAATAAAAATGTAACTTTGAAATGCAAGTGGAAGAAATATTAAATCATGTCTAATATGATTTACTTTTTTGTAGGCAATGTCCAGAAGGATATGTGTGTGTAAAAGCAGGTCGAAACCCCAACTATGGCTACACAAGCTTTGATACCTTCAGCTGGGCCTTCTTGTCACTCTTTCGGCTGATGACTCAGGACTACTGGGAAAATCTTTACCAACTGGTGAGAATCATCATGAGGCAAGCTTAGTATGTGTGATAATAAAACAAAGACATTATCTTTGCTGCCCATCTGCTTATTAAGATGTTTTAATCCAGCAAGCAACTTTAAACAATTACTATTCGTGCATATCTGGTAATGTCACTGCATGTTTAAGTTGATGAGTAGGCCAAGCAGTATTGTTAGTACTTAGTAGGAAAAGGCTGAATAAATGAGAACTTTTTTTCCTCCCTCCCCCCAACCTTTCAGACACTCCGTGCAGCTGGCAAAACCTACATGATCTTTTTTGTTCTGGTGATTTTCCTGGGCTCCTTCTACCTGATCAACCTGATCCTGGCTGTGGTTGCCATGGCCTATGAAGAGCAGAACCAGGCCACCCTGGAAGAAGCGGAGCAGAAGGAGGCAGAGTTTCAGCAGATGCTGGAGCAGCTGAAGAAGCAACAAGAAGAAGCTCAGGTAGCTTTCTTTGGGAAATATCCTTCTTAGTCTGTTAAAAAGCTCTGGCATATATCATACTTTCCCTGATTTCACCCTATAATATTCCAGTATGTGGAGCATGAAATATAGGGCCAAGGTCAGGTGAGCTGACACTGTTGGGTCAAAGAAGAGGGCTCACGGTTGACCACTTCGGTCCTGCTACAGTTCTGGCCTTTATTGGCCACTGGCCTGATCCCTTTTTCTCTCTAGTCGGAAGGGGCATCAAGGGCACTGACCGCTTCTAGGGTTAAAAGCAGGAAGGGCCTGCCCGCTCACATACCTACCCTTTCCTCTGGGCAGCAGAGGGAGATCAAGTGGTGATGCTAATACAGGAGGAGCAGGCCCATCTTGACCCCAGATCTGAAGCTGCCAGTGTTTTTAAAGCTTACAAAACAAGACCCTTCTCCTGTTTGCTGCTGCAGGCTGTGAAAATGTTTCTTTAGCATTATGTATATGCAAGGCATTGGGGCTTTATGTCAACATATGTTTTTCCTACATGACTCTTCTTCTCTTAAATATGGACTGTGATATTGCCTCCAGCCCCTCACCAAGGGAATTATTTTTTAAGAGACCTACATTGGTCCAGGACAGCACTGGAGCCTGCATAGTCTGGCTGGAATACTGTTACCTGCCCTCCCAAATTTTAAGCTAAGCCCTATTTTCCTTGTGACAGAGGGCGAGGTGTTTTCTGTCTATCCTGTGTGGAAAAGGAGTAGGACTGTACCTGGGTCAGTCACAAAGAGGGCGGTGTGACACTCATGTACACACTGCAGTTGAAGGCTGGCCAAGCAGTTGTGATCTTCCCCGGGGATTCGGAGCATGTGTGGATATGTAGGTAACTAGCAGTTCTTAAATAGTAGGATGGAATCGGCTGGTATATCGCAGGAGCCTGCTGTGCAGGCTGCTGGCTAGTGCTTCCAAGGGCGGCAGGGGAACTAGTGGCCTCTTGTTCACAATACAGGAGGTGCAGCCAGGCAAGATCCCACTGATGACAGCCTTATTAAAAACTTGACAGACAGCCGAGCTGTACCATGTGTTCAGAGAACTGTGCTACCTTTTAAATTTAATTTCAAATAAGGGGACGCTAATGATTGGCATTAGCACTTAATTGCTTTGTGACTGTATACCCTTGGTGTAATAATGAATTTCTCTATGATTATGATTAATGTGGTAATCCAACTAATGTTAATTACTTGACATTGTAACACAACAGACAACAGCAGCTGTGGCAGCAGCATCGGTTGCATCAAGAGATTTCAGCGGTGTGGGAGGATTGGGGGAGCTCTTGGAAAGTTCTTCAGAGGCTTCTAAATTAAGCTCAAAGAGTGCTAAAGAAAGAAGAAATAAGCGGAAAAAAAGACGACAAAAGGAGCTTTTGGAAACAGAAGATAGAGGGGAAGTGGAAAAATTTCCTAAATCTGAGTCAGAAGACAGCATCAGGAGAGGAGGTCGTTTGTCTTATGAAAAGAGGACTTCTACTCACCAGGTATACTACGATTCAAGTCTGAATTTGGGATTCTAGTTAAAGTCGATTCCAACCCTGTGCTCTTCCTACCATTAAATGTAGTGGCATGGTTGTAGGGAGGACAAAATACGCTTTTCATATTCACCCAGGCAGAATGCAAAAAGCATATCTGCTGTTGAGTTTGAAGCATAAGAGGGCCAAGGGGGAGAGCAGGAGACAGACAAGAGACAGAGTGAGTGAGCTTAGGAGACAGACATCTGGTGTATCTGTATTTATTTTGCCAGAAGAAGAAAGGTGAGGTACAAATATAATTTATATATCCTTGCCTTTGGAGGATAGTTCATATTTGAAATGCATCATGCTGAATACAACATACTTTCCCTCCCTTCCTTCCTTCCTTCCTTCCTTCCTTCCTTCCTTCCTTCCTTCGATTCCTTCCTACTTCTCCTTCCTCACCTTTCAGTTCAGACAAGCCCCAAAGGCAATGTACAGTAACTGAAAACTGTAAAATCCAAAAATGCAATAACCAGTAAAAAGCAGAAACAGAAAGTAAAACTTAGAACCTCAAACAGACTTCCCAGCAAGTGAACAGAACTCACTTCAGATTAAAGGCCTGATGATTTAATCTCAGTTAATGAGAATATAACAGTTGCTTGATGGATAAGCAGACATAGCCTAGAACTTTTATTTTGCTTTATATATTTTAAGAAATGTCTATACCGCTTTTCATTAGCATAAAAAACAAAGTTAGTTATGAGATAAAAGATAATACCATTAAAATTGTAAGACTTTTCCTATAAGGGGCTTTTATTGGTTTGGGTGCTGTTTTTAATATTTTTTGTCCTGTTGTTATTTTTATTGTATTTTAATGCATTGTTTTAATCAATTTTAATTGTTTCTACAAGCTACCTCAAGTGCTATTTTTGGTACAAAGCAGGGTACAAATAAAATAAAATACACAATAGACAATAAAGCAAAGATAAAAACAATAAAATCTCATTAAAATAATTTGGGGCAGCTGGCAGTGCTAGCTGTCAAGGAAAAATCAGGGCAAAGAAGTTTGCCTTCAGTTGTTGGCAGAAGCACTTTGCAGTTGGGGCTTGTTTGGTATTGGTGGGGAGATCCTTTCAAATTGGGTGCCAGAGCTGAGAAGTCCCTCCAAAGCAGCACTGCCAAATGAGCCATAGAAATTCACTCAGTATGTGCAGCAGCCTCTCCCCTGTGGGATGGAAAAGAGAAGAAGGCAGTCTCTGGTCCTGAGTTGTTTAGGGCATTATGACACAGCAGGAACACCTTTAAGTTAATGGCATCCAGTGCAGAGCTTTCAGCGCAGAAGCCAGAGATATGCTAACCAGCTCCACTTAGCCATTTAGCAGCCACCACCTGCTCTGGCTGCAGCTCCTTTGAATTGATCTCAAGTGCAGCCCCATATAAAGTGCAGTGTGACAGTCCAGTCTTGAAGTCTGCAAGCCTTCTCTGTCCTGGAATGGCCATAGCTGTTATACCATCCTAAGCGGGTAATGCGTGTTCTTTGCCTCTGATGCCACCTGTCCCTCTAGTGACAGAGACTGATCTTGGATTCAAGATCATTTCCAGAACTATATACCTTTCCCTACAGCCCCATTTCAGGACAGGTAGATTGCCAGAGTCAGACCTGGGGTGGCCCATCCACTAAGCCCCTGCCACACCAGGATTTGAATTCATTTTCAGTTTGTTGAGCCTCATCCAGCCTTCTGCTATATCCAATCAGCCATCCAGGTCATGCATTGCTGCACCTAACTCAGAAAAATAGATATATGCAAAATCAGCATATTGATGGCTTCTTGCCCCAGCTCCCCCGATATCACACCTTGCAAGCTTCCTAAAGATGGCACTGTAGATGACCTTGTGGCACTAGCAGCACAGTTGCCAGGGGGGCAAGGCACAATCCTCAAATGCCGCTCTCTGCAGCCAACCCTGCAGATAACAGCAGAATCTCTGTAATGCACAACTAGTCCTTAAGGCAACCTTGTGGAGCCTTCCAGCAGAACACCCTTAGCGATGGTATCAGAAGGAGAAGCACCAGGGTCACAATCACCCTTATTCTGATAAAGATCCTTAACCAGGGCAGCCAAGGCCAATTTCGGAGTCAAATAAGCTCTCTTTAGTGAAGTAGAACCATAAAAATGTCATAGAAACTGCATTTTTCAGACAAGCATGTTGGAACTAGTGCAGTCAAAATGGGCCTCAGCCCTCCTTGTTGCAAATCCAGTTGAAGTGAAATTCTTTAAAGTTACAGTTTTAAGTATTTACATGGAGCAAATTGTGTTACAGATAAATTCAGTGAGATGAGGCAAAGTCCGGGATATGGTTGTCCTCCAACATTTGTCAGCATCTGTTAGAAGAAAACAGTATCTCCTTTATGTACCATTATTTACTTATTTGGGCAATTTATAACCTGCCTTTCTTCTAAAAAACGAGATCAGAGTTGAGTGTAAATGCTATTATTGACCTACATGTCAAATTGAAATTGCTAAACTGTGTGATCTTGAAAGCATGCATTTCAGCATATCTTTTGAACCAGCTTGAAAGCCCATTAGACTAGGTCTAGAATTTAAAGTTTAAAGTTACCAGAAATGAAAGCAGATTATAAGAGAGCAACAATAGATCTGAATCTAAGGATTGTTTCCCAGCTCCACACCTTTCAACACCCCCAAGCACTGGTGATAGCTTTTCTTATTCATGTCTGCTGGTAATGAAATATGTAGTGAGGAAGCAAGATTCCACCAGGGAGTTTCTTGTAGTGCAATTAAATAAAAGAATGGCCAGCAAAAATTGATTTTTCCTGTCCTCAGTGGCAAACTCACCATCATGGGGAATTTCTATGGTTGGTGAGTGTTGCTGAGCGCATTAACTGATGGTGGATTAATTGTGCAACTCTAGTTAAATGGATCTAGTCACTGTTGAGAGTGAGAAGGATGGCAGTCTTGAGCAGTTGTTCTCGTGAAATGCTCACTGCATCCCAGGCAATTTGGAATTGGAATGTGCAACAAATTACACTGTGATTGTGGGGGATGGGCTAGGTCAAGATTCTGAGATGCAGGAGGCGGAGGTGATTTTCTCAAGGCCAGACACTTTGCCAAGCCAGGCAGTTTCTGGGAATGATCAAGCTGCGCAGCCAGTGGGATGGGTCTCTGATGATGGGGAATTCTTCGATGCAGACCAGCCCCATGCCCACTCTCAATCCCATGGCAAGGTGTCAGCAGAGGTGGGAGGCCCAATTGAACGCGCAGCTCACAGAGAAGAGGCATGCTTGCCTTCAGAAAGCCCCTCCTGAGGGATGGGGCCCAGGCACGTTCATATGGAGAGTTCCTGGAGGTAAACACTAGATTTGGTTCAACAAACTACTCTGTGCATGCTCAGAAATTGATTCTGAGCGATTTATACTTGGGAGCAATAAAGAAAGTTTTGCAAGGAAAATGGTCTGTGGCTTGTGATTGCTTGAAGGAGGAACCTTGGCTCATGACAGTCTCTGTGTCTCTGCTAGAAGGCACTGTGCCTCTGTAGGCTCTGGCTGGCCAGTTAACATGCCTTCCGTTGCCTTAGGGAATACCTGGAGATATCTGAGAGTGTCCCACTTGAGAATATTGCTGGGTGGGTCATTACTGTGGATGAATAAGTGCTTGTAAGCATTTTTCAAGAATATGATTTGTTTATTAGTGTTGAATTCTACGATGGGCCAGAGAAGAGCAAGTCATCCTGAGTTATGAGAGACTTGCTCAGATTGAAATTAGGAACTTATAGCGTCATCATATTCAGCATGTTTATAATCTGCCTTCCATTCTCAAAAGAAATTGTTGAAGAAACAAAGGGAAGAATCCAGTGGGATTCTTGTCCTCGTGCCAATTCTCTTGAGACCTGTCAATTCTTGTCCACAAATACTACTCATCACTTGAAAATAAGCCAAAACACTTGCCTCTGGAACAGAACAAGTTGCTGAAGCTTGTTTAAAGAGAGCTCTGCCTTCCTCTTCTGGTCAAGAGATGTGTAGTTCTATTCATTTCAGGACTTTGTTTGGGAAACACTCAATGTCTGTTGTGCAAGTGGTGGGTTTTGCAGTGGAATTTGTGGTACCCATCACTTGTGTGAAAGAATAATCAGATTGCAAGAGAATCGGATGTAAACTTCCTGTTGGATTCTGCCAAGTGATGTTAGGCAGCATTTTAGGAAGATAGGAAGCTACCTTAGATACCAAATCAGACCATTTCTCCCCATATGCCCTAGCATCATTCACTGGACAGGCAGTCAGTTCCCCAGGTTCTCAGGCATTGCTCTTTCCTATCGTCTCCCAAATCCTCTGCAATTGGAGATCCCAGAGATTTAGGCTGGGATCTTCTGCATACGTACTCTACTGCTGAGCTATAGGCCTTCTCTGAGCCAGAGGGTGGCTTGATGGAGGAAATGGAGCAAACATGCCAGGTTCAGGCTAGATATCAGGAAAAGTTTCCTTGCTGTGAGAGCAGTACTACAGTGGAAGCAGTTGCATGGAGAGCTGGTGGGCTCTCCCACACTAGAGACATTCAAAAAGAAATTGGGCAGCCATCTGAGTGGGATGGTGTAACTTGGTGTCCTGCAACAGCAGGGGGTGGACCCAATGGCCTTCATGGCCCCTTCCAGCTCTACTATTCTATGATTCTATGAAATCAGAAGGTGTACTGCTATTAAATCTAATCAACTTCTGATACTGAATGCTTGTGAATATTCTGTGCAGATCTATGAATAAATGCTTTGTAACTTCAACTGGTTGAACAAAAGCACCCTTAAATAGAACAATAAGTCAGTGAAAGGGAAAAAAGCATGAATACTTTCAAGCGATAACCATGTTTTTTTCTTTTGCTCTCCCCACAGTCTTTGCTGAGCCTTCGTGGCTCCTTGTTTTCCCCAAGACGCAACAGCAGAACAAGTATTTTCAGCTTCAGAGGCAGAGCAAAAGATATAGGATCAGAAAATGACTTTGCTGATGATGAACACAGCACTCTTGAGGACAATGAGAGCAGAAGAGATTCTCTCTTTGTTCCTAATAAACACAATGGTGAACGCCGCAACAGTAACAGCAGCCAAGCAAGTCTGTCATCAAAGATGGTTCCAGCACTTCCAGCAAATGGGAAGATGCATAGCACTGTGGATTGCAATGGTGTTGTTTCGTTAATGGGAGGACCTCCAGCACTGCCTTCACCTACTGGACAACTTATGCCAGAGGTGGTACATTATCTCTTCCATTCTACCACAGCTGATGTAGACAGGCATGGGTCTCATGTTGCCCACTCTGATAAATCTGTGCTTGTAATTCTTTTCATAATGGGAGGCATAATACAAGAACTTTCACATAGGGAGAATCCCCCCCACCCACCCTACTGCAGGCCTCCAAAAACCTCTCCTTAGAGTCGGAAGATCCTCAGGAAAGGCCTGAGACACAGGACTGTGCAGTGGCATTGAAGTGCTGAGAAAATTCTGCAAAGGCAGAGTGTGAGTCTCTGCTTGTGCAAGTTGTTGCCACCCGGTTTTCCCATAGAATATATTGTCCAAAAAGCCCCGCATGGTAATCTTGTGGTTGGATGTATGACTGCCCCAAGGCAGTTCTTGTGTGATATTTCATTAGTGCACACATGCACTCCTTTGCATTCATAAGAAAACTCACAAATATATTTGTTTAATCATATTGGTATTGCACAGTCATGAATACCAGCTTGGCTCCTCTTTTATACTATCTAACCTATTGTTAACCTATATGGTTGGCATGTTAATTCACCTTATTTATTTTTTTAATATTTATTGCTGACTTGATTAAGCTCCTAAAGTTTAAATAGGTTCTTAAAGTGATTTACAATGCAAAACAGATAATTAAATGCAACAAACTCATAAGATGAGACTAAAACCAATCCATTTATCAAACAAAGATGGAGTGCTATAACCTAACCAAAGTGGCAACACTTTGTATTGTAGTACTCTGTCACTCAAAAGCCTGGGAGTCCCTTTCCTATCTCCTTTGAGTCTTCAAAAAACAAGAAATATATTTCATCTTTTTAAAATAACCTCTATTATTTCATGCTAAAATATTTAACATAGTCACAATTTTCTTTAAAGCAAAGTTCTGACATTGTTATATTCCTAGGGTGTTTTAAAAATACACTTATGGCTCAATCCTCTGGCTTCCCAACACTGTCTGGGGTGCCATAGGGTTAATTACAGTCACAGCTCCAGGGTCCTGCAACTTTAGAGCTGGGACTCTGAACACGGAGCCCCCGTTCTGTTTCTCGTATAGCTGGCACAGAAAGAACCACTCTGGCTTGCTCTCTGGCACTGAAACTGGCTCTGGAGAGAACTAAAGGGGCTAGGAGGGGAGGAGGCTAGGGTGGACCACATATGCTGTATGCAAGCAGCCTCCAGCCTCCTTCCCTCCCTGAATTTGTTTGTTTCATCTGGATGGCTGAAAATGGCTAACCAGCTTAAATGCAGGGTGCAAGGTACTGGAGAGTGCCTCTGCCATGCCTCATACCCTACATTGGATCTAGCTTCATGCCCAATGTAAATTATGGCAGCGTCTAGCTCTCTAGCATACCTGTGCTACAGAGCCATTACTGACTACAGCTTCCTGTCCAGTACTTACTATGTGCTAAGCATCATGTTCAGAATGACCCTGTTGTGCACCTTTCTGAGGACTCTCTAGCTAGCAAGAGAATCTAATATCTTGATTCTTAACTACTAATCCGACTAGCTGTATTTTGTCCAGTGGACATTGTGCAGGTTCCAGAGAATCTTGCAGCTAGCTTTTTTGGACACAGGGCGTCTTTCTGTAGGTCAGACAATATGCACCCCCTCTGAAACTGCAGGATCACCTTTGGATCATCACGCATACAGTTAACAAATGTGTAGTAATTCCTCCAAAACTGAACCATAAGTTTACACATGTTAAAGGAAAATGTGTTTTCTGAGTGCAGATCCTGTTGCTGAAATGGCAGCATCCACACACACGAAGGAAGTGTGAGTAAGCATGGGAGAGCCCATTGGTTTGCAGACATTTGAAATTCATTAGTGAAAACCTCTAAGGGGGAACCCCCAAAACAGCCCAGTGAGGGCAAAACATGTACAGTAGCCACAACATGCCAACTGGCCTGTGGGTGAACAAAATGGAAAACCAGGATGGGGGAATGGCACGGACTAGCTGGAAATATGAAAAGGAGCACTCTTTACTACAACATTTTGTGCACAGAACTCTGGATGGTTTACAATAGTTTCACTTCCTGTGCAGTGTATTGTTTGAGTTCCAGGGATTATTAACAATAATTATATTTTCAGGGTACCACTACTGAAACGGAAATAAGAAAAAGAAGATTAAGTTCTTACCAAATTTCTATGGAACTGATGGAAGAATCTGCAGCAAGACAGAGAGCCATGAGCATAGCCAGCATACTCACAAATACTATGGAAGGTATGGGAGGACATGTTTGACCGCATACCATACAGAGAATACACTCTAAGCCTTAAAGCCCAAGACAGAACAGGCCAATGTAATTTCATTGGAAAGTTAGCAAGCTTAGTGTTGAAGCCTTAGACATCCAGGTTTCTCTCATGCAATTTCCAAACATGATAGTAGATTCAAATCTTGTAAAATTCCCTAATTTTACCACTACTTTCCTTGTTAAGAAATTTTTGGATGGGTTGTCATGATATTGCTTATTATTGTTATTGCTTATGATGATGTGCCTGTTGTTCGCATGAGCAATGAATACTTCTGGTGCAGCAGAGGAAGCCATTACTTCCCAATCAAATAACTGCTTCATGCCTGAACTGTAAATCAGCAAAGTGCTATTTCCTTAAAAGGTCAGGTGCCGGTGACTTGGGGGAGATCATATTAATCCTCAGTAATAAACTGTCTGTCTGTCCAGCCATCACTTCCCTGGTGCCAAGACCATGAAAGCTAGGCACCTGAAACATGCAAGCATACTTGAGTTGTTTACCTTGGATTAATTCATTATAAAAGCTCATTACTTTCGAGGGACAGTTATATTCCCTCCTTTTCCCGCTGCTGTATGACAGCTCCCACCTCAAGGGAATGGAGTAGAACTACAGGGATGGACCATGGAAGGGAGCCTGCCATTGGGCATGGCTTCAGTCTGATGAGGTAGGCAGAGCCTGTCCAGTGTTGACAGCTGTGTAAATTTGCTTGAAGGCTTCATCGGATCCAAGAAAAGGCTCTTTCAATGCATGCAAATAATTCACAAGTCAGGAAGTTTGCCTGTCAGAAGAGGCAGGTTGTGATGGCTGTTAGCAACATAGTGCTAAATGGTTCTTTCAACATAGCAAATGCAGAGATAAAATGTTGGGGAAAAGGCTAGGCGTATGGCTGGGTTCAGAAATGAATAACAGCCCATGGAATCAGTTAACTGTTTCTCCCTTCATTATAGAGTAGGATCCCCCACCCACCCACCCACTGGGCTTAACCATAGTTAACTGTTATGACAGAAGCAATGTAAACTGTAATTAGGACTGAGGGGGGTAGCATTGGCAATTGGCAGTGTTAAGTCCCTCACTGGCCCAACTGTTTGGACTAAAATTTATCTTGTCAAAATAAACGCTGCAGTATGTCATTTTGCATGAACAGTATGTTGGTAGGGGAAGTAAACATGTTTCTATTAGCATTGTTGATAAATTAATCATAGTAAACATACACAAAGAGAGTTATATTTATGGAGGAAATACTCTGTGTACCAATATGTTTCCCCAGGTCACTGCAGAATACTTAATTTGCTTTTTAACAAAAATAATGCATAGAAAACCATACTCTCATTTCCTTCCAGAACTTGAAGAATCCAGACAGAAATGCCCACCATGCTGGTATAGATTTGCAAATGTTTTCTTAATTTGGGATTGCTGGAGTCCCTGGTTGAAAGTGAAACACATTGTGAACTTGATAGTGATGGATCCCTTTGTTGATCTTGCTATTACTATCTGCATTGTATTGAATACACTATTTATGGCCATGGAGCATTATCCAATGACTCCCTATTTCAACCATGTGCTTTTGGTAGGAAACTTGGTATGTATATACACAAGTAAGAATTTATTTCTTTTAAAATACATTATTTATCTTTTTATAAGAATTCTTAATGCAGTGTGCTGTCATATATGGCTGATATAATAACCACTTCTTTAAATGAGTCCTGGAAAACATTCTAGCCAACAATACAATTTTGAAAATTTAATTTGGGATTAAACTCAGTTTTATGAACATCTAAGGTTGTATCCAGTGGTTGCAGGAGCATGATCGGCTTATTCAGCCAAACTTTTTTCATTTGTTCCTTAGCACCTATGTTCCACAAAGTTCTGCCTGCATAAGGACCCCTCACTGCAGCCCAGTAGAACACATTATTATCATTAAATTTATTATCACATTATTAAAGAGGGCCCCCCCAAGCTTTTGAGGAGGTATAGAGGGAGAAGAGAGGAAGAGAAAAGTTATTTGCATAATCTTACTTCCACTCAAAAAAGCATTAGATGCAATTTATAATTTCTAACCATTTATTCAGGTTTTGACAGATGTGTTTGAAAATTGTTTCATGTGATTACTAAAGGAGGGGTTATGTTTAAGAGATGTAAGAATGGATTATTGGCAGCATGGCAGTGAATGCTATGAGGAATGAAGTCATGTAGTCTAAGAAGAGGCATTCTCTGTAAGGGGTGAGGTCACTATTTGGATTCTGAAAGATTTAATTCCATTGGTGGGTCTCCTTGGTTATGCCATCAGGAGGACTGGTGGAAAATGACTGTGCAAAATTCTTAAACAGACAATTCTCCTTGGATTAGGCTTACTATTACCTTCACCTTTTAGGCTCTCATAATGGAAATGCGATTACAAATGTTATTTGGCAATATTATACAATCTTAAATGAAGCTAAGCTACTTAACAGAGATCACTTGGAGCATCTCTTAGGCTTAGCCCGTATAATTTTATAGAAGCTGATTTACTAGTGCTAGCTTTGTTCTGAAACAGAATTGTCTCTGCTGCTAGAAAGTTTCTGGAGTCCTATGCTCACTCTTCCAGAGGAAAGCTTCATCAAGCGCAAAAGGATTTACTCCTGAGGAGACATGGATAGGATTTTACTTTTAATCCTTTTGCTATCTGAACATCTCACTGAATGAACTTGGCTTAAATTTACTTATGAAAATAAATATTTCAAAGTGCACACACTCAACAGAAAAATTAGCTATCAATAGGACATGGCAAAAGCGTATCTGTTACCAATCACTTTTATTATGCATGTGTAAAACAGGGATATACTGTGTGATATTTACAACTAATTTAAGCTCCCTGCCGTGGGTACTGGATTTTGCCCAGCATAATACATAAAGTAGTCTTCATACAATATTAAATTTAATTAGGGGTGATGCCCTAATTGATATTGATTATTTATTATCAACATAATTATGTATATATTTATAACTATTATCTATATACCTGTCTTTATTATCTGTATCTTATTATTTACATAGTTTAATATTTATTATTAAAGTTATTACCACATAGTTTAAAAGTTATCATATTCTGACCTACTTTTTAATTATAATAACAACAAAACATACTTGAGCATCCAAAATGAAAGAGGAGAAGCTCTGTAGCAGGCGAAGTTCAAGATGTATAGAAGCAATGGATATGTTAGGTTAAGAGGGATAACAGTATTTGTTATGCTACATTACCTGAAAATCTTTGCCATCATATTTATACAGACTCCCCATTTGAAAGTACTAGGATGCAGATCACACACACACGTCCACACATACTCTGGCACTGAATGCTGTTCTGTTTTTGAATCCAAAGAACAGTGTGGACACTAAAACAACAAAACTCACCATATTAGGGTGTTGTGTCCCTTTGGAATCAGTGGAATTTATTTTCATGTCTTGTTTTGTTTTGTTTTATAGAATTGCAGTGTTTCAGTGCAGCAAAGTACCAGCCTGTCTAGATGTTGATATGCCTTTACAGCAGGCTACATTTACCTAAACCTTGTCTGTGTTTTTCATGGGGAAATGCTGAAACTCAGTGGTAGAGCTTTGTATGGAAAACCTCTCTGGCTTCTCTATATAGGACTGGAAACGGTCCCTGTCAGAATGTCTGGAGGGCTGCTGGTGCTGCTAGTGCTATTAATGATAAGAATGCTTGTTTAGAATTATGAGATTGTATCCCCTGCATAGCAGCCATTTGGGACAATGGACTCTAAAAACCAGGATATCTAATTCTAAGCTGAATGGACGAATGGTCTGACCTGCTAAGGCTGCTTCCTCTGAAAGACACTGATATACAATGAGTGATATGGGAGATCTTGGTTTTACTTGGATGCTTTAATGTAAAGGAATCAGATTAAACATAAGTTAATTCATTATCTGTGCACTTAGGTCTTCACTGGGATCTTCACTGCAGAAATGGTCCTCAAGATAATAGCCATGGATCCTTATTATTATTTTCAGGAAGGATGGAATATTTTTGATGGCATCATTGTCAGCCTGAGTTTGATGGAGCTGGGTCTTGCCAATGTGGAAGGCCTGTCAGTCCTGAGATCCTTCAGACTGGTAAATCAGCCAATTAGCACAGCAGTCATTTTCACAGAATGTTCAGTATTTATTAGCAGAGTGTAGCATCAGTGTAGCATGATGAACTGCTGGGCAGCATTCATCATACTGATTTTGTACAATTGTTTTTAAATGTGATGACTCTCCCGATGTTCCTATGAATTCTAAAGGAACAGCTCCTTTCATACCTGACTATGTAAATGCAGTCCATACGTGTACATAGGAATCATTGCATGAATGTTCTTGGGACTGAAGGAGAGCTTAGTATCTCTGAGCCAAATGGGCATCTATTCAGAACCTAAGACAAGATATTTCTAACCCTTAATGGTATAGAGGGCAACCTGGAAAAGCAATTATTGAAATTAATACAGAGGTAGTAGTTTGTTGTTTAGCTGTAAGTCAAAGCAAAAAAAAGAGGTAACACATTGAAATGCATTTTCAAAATCAGTTCAATTTTATGCCACTTTTCCATATAGGACTGTGTACAAAGCCAAGTGGCAATAGCATAACAATGGTTTCAGCACAACATACTTTAAGTGTTGAATCCTATGCAGGTTTAGACAGAAAAAGGCCTATAACTCCTGACATTCCAGCTGGCATGGCTGGCTGGTGGCAATGTTGGGAGTTTCTGGATTTCATTCTGTCACAGGATTGTGCCCTAAATTGGCATTTGTATCAGGCAGTATGTGTGAAACTGCGAGAAACCTTTTCCATTGTTTTAACTTTAATAAGCAATATTTGAAAAAAATTGTTAATTTTGTGAAAGATGTTGCATACCTTGGCTCAATCATCAGTTGAAATGGAGACTGCACCTGAGAAATTGGAAGACAACTGAGACTTGGAAGGGCAGTGATGAAGCAACTTGAAAGAATTGTGTAAGGACATTTTGCTGGAGACTAAAGCTGAGATCATTCACTATTGTATTCCTGACCACTTTGTATGGGTCTGAAAACTAAAATTAGACAAAGAAGAAAACTGGAAGGAAGAAAATTGATGCATTTGAAACATGGTGCTGGAGGAATGATTTGTGAATGCTCTGGACCAACCTTTGGAAACAAAAATGATGAAATGGAAGCTGTCTTACTTCAGCACATCATGAAAAATAAGACTCATTGGAGAAGGTGAAAGAAAGTGAAAGAAAAAGAGGAAGACCTGCCATGAGATGCATCAATTCCATGCATCAATGCAACAGCCTTGACTATACAAAAACGGAGCAGGGCGGTCAAGCACAGAACATTTTGGAGGGTATTCATTCAAAGCGTTGCCACAAATTTGAGATGACATGTAACAACAATCAACTCAACAGTGTTCTAGAAATTTACGTTTCCATGTTTTACAAATATCACTGTAAAAAGCTATTTGACACAGAAGTTGTCTGGTCACCAGCCATCACCACAGAAATGTGAATTGCAATTAGGGTTGGGACAAACCATGTTGGAATCTCCCCCTCCAAGAATTCATGGACTTCCTCTTGTGCTTGGACCAGTGAGTGGAGAGGAAGTTTGTAAATGCTTGCAGAGCCCTGGTTGCAAAACTAGCAATTATTCATGTCAACAGGTGCCTAAAAGGAAAAGGGGCACTACTTGCTCAGTGGTTGGTGGGGGTGCTGCTTTCCAGGCGAGCTCCTCACAACCATGCACCCTGCACCCAGCCTTCTTTTGCACGAGGGGCAGCTGCTGTTTGAGCAGCTGTTACTGGGCTGCACATGGTGCTCGATTCCTTGCGAACGCCCCACAAACAGTGGCCATGCTCATCGGGAATTCAGACTCTTAGCTGTTGCAAAGCAACCATAGTCCAGGGAGCTGAGCTGAGTCCAGGTAATCCAACAGATTGCCACCCCTGGGCAGATTCCTCACAGCCCTCTAATAATAAAATAAAATAACTTGTGAATTATGCTTACTATGTCATTTGCATGCAAATGAAATTGTGACTCTCAGAGCTCATTAAGTTTACTGTTCCTGATTTACACCGTACATTCTGCTGATGGTATGTAAGTAGTTTGGTCTTTTTCCCTGTGGATGTGAACCAAATGTCTTGACCAAGATGCAGTACTGCTGCTGCATTTTCACTGAACCCATTGCACCAACTGGACTCACTTCTAGCGCAACAGAGAGCTACTGCTGCTTAGTGCTTCATAAAGTAAACCTGGGAATGGGCAGTCATGCTTGTTTCCAGATTGGGGCAGGTTAGTGGAGCTCCATTCTGTGAGCTCTGTGAACCTGTCCTGTTTTTGAAATTACTGTCCTGTTGCTTTAAGAAACATGAGCTCCCTTAGCACTAATGTTGGGCAGCAAAGGATACTGCCCATTATGTTTTCATGTTTTAAACTAAAACACACGACACACCAAAACCATTTTAGATAGTAATACTGTCTCCTTGCTCTTGTTTTGCAGTTGCGAGTTTTCAAACTGGCTAAATCCTGGCCAACACTAAATATGCTGATCAAAATTATTGGCAACTCTGTGGGAGCTTTAGGAAATCTGACCTTGGTCCTGGCCATCATTGTCTTCATTTTTGCTGTAGTTGGCATGCAGCTGTTTGGTAAAAGCTACAAGGAATGTGTGTGCAAGATTGCAGAAGACTGTGACCTTCCACGCTGGCACATGAACGACTTTTTCCACTCCTTCTTGATCGTGTTCCGAGTTCTTTGTGGAGAATGGATAGAAACCATGTGGGACTGTATGGAGGTTGCAGGCCAAACCATGTGCCTTATTGTTTTCATGTTGGTCATGGTAATTGGAAACCTTGTGGTATGTAGCCAGTCTTTTTCAAAAGTAAATAGTTTTTCAAACTACTATAATGTCCAATAAATATGTTTAAATGATTACCTCATAGAAACAGTGATTTGGCTGAAGCTTGGCTTGGAATCCTTATGGGACTTTGCACAAATTTATATGAATGGCTTTTATATGCTTGGCCCTTGAATAAAGAGGTCAGCCACTGAGAAGAGGATGACATTTTATTTGCCCTGGGATAAATAACCTGAGTCAGATGTGCTTCTCTGCTCTCTCTTTACATGAGAATTCCTTTATTGAGTATCAAAGGGTCAGGAGCACCACCACTCTCTGGGGCTCTCCAACCTGCTTTTCCTGTATAGAAAGGAATAAATGACCCAGCATGATGCTGTCTTCATCTCTACCCAGAATCTTCCTGAACCTGCTGTGCCTACCAGCTTAAAAGTTCTAAATACCTGGTTAAGAGACCTCCTTTATGGTGATGAACCCTGAATTGTGCTAGTGCATGTTACATTCTCCCCAGGGAAAGAAAGAGTGATTTGGTGAGGGCATGCATGGGTCCAAGGACTGATCCTCATAAGGAGTAAAGAAATGCTAAGGCGATAAGGAGTAAAGAAATGCTTGTGCTGGACAGCATTTCAGGGGGCTGCTTATAATATTGCTTGCACAACCTATCGTGCAAGTTCCATTACTCACAGCTGCACCTCAAGAAACATAACTGGGGAAATTCTGTCCAGGTTTGATTCTGCTTTGGAAATATTATACCGGCTTACACACTGGACAGAGCTATCCATGGTCCCTAAGAAAACCTTCCTGTAACTATAGGAATGGGAGATCACCCCTCCTGGGTGAGTAGCACTGCTGTGACCTTGGCTGGAGTAATCAACTTATTCGCTGTATCTCCTCATCTCTCAGGCAGCACAGAGAACAGTGCTGTGGCTGTGCTTCTGAGATCACAGCAGCAACACTGGAAATTCTCAGGGAGAGGGAAAAGGGGGTGGTAGGATAGTAAGCAGAGAGGGAGAAGGATGGCAGGCCAAGCTCTGCAGGATTCTACAGTTTCTTTGTCACCCACAGTAAGATAGGCCAGCTAAATGAGCCCAGAGCCTTGACTAGCCCAAAGTGTAACAGGATAGGAGGCATTTTCCCTCCCTGCACTCTTCCTGCCCCGCTTGGTTATTCATAGTCCGAGAGCTCCAGTTGGAACCCCTGTCTACTGAGAAACAATCTCTCAGGATTGTGCTTTAGAATTAAGTATGTACTGTACATATATGAGAGGCAGAGCTATATTGCTGCATCCTTGGGTCATGCAATAATGAAGAATAGAAGTGGCTGTGTTAGGTAGGCCAAAGCTTCCTTCATACCCTCTAGATCTGATATGCAATCTAAACAAGCTGGATTAAGGGTCCAACCCAGCCTTCCCCAGCCTATGGCCTGCAACTCCCAACATGCCTGACCATTGGCTTCACTGTCAGGGTATTGCAAGAATATTGGCCAACAATTCCTGAGGACCTTAAGCTGGAAAGGGCAGTCACTACACAGTTTGGACTGTTATGGCAAAGTTCTTTTATTAATCTTTCTTCTCTGTGCAAAGGAAGCCCATATGATTTTTTCCCTTCTATTTCCCATCTTTTAGGTATTGAATTTGTTTCTAGCTTTGCTGCTGAGCTCCTTCAGTTCAGATAACCTTGCTGCTACAGATGATGATAATGAAATGAACAATCTGCAGATCGCGGTGGCAAGAATTCAGAAGGGAATAGATTTTGTTAAGAAAAAATTGAGAGAAGTTGTCCAAAAGAGCTTTGGTAGAAGGCACAAAGCTGTGGAGGATGTCAAAGCACTTGAAGAACTGAACAACAAGAAAGATGCCTACATTTCCAACCATACTATGGTTGAAATAAGTAGAGATGTTAATTATCTGAGAGATGGGAATGGAACCACAAGTGGTGTAGGCACAGGCAGCAGTGTGGAAAAATACGTTATTGATGAAAATGATTACATGTCATTTATAAATAATCCAGGCCTTACTGTGACTGTTCCAATCGCAGTTGGAGAATCAGATTTTGAAAATATAAACACTGAAGAGTTTAGCAGTGAATCTGACCTCGAAGAAAGCAAAGAGGTAGGACTTTATTATTTATTATAACATTGTATTTATATCCCACTATTTTCCACTTGTGAGAAACCCAAGGTGGCTTACATAGTTCTCCTTCACTCCATTTTTATCCTCACAGCAACAGCCCTGTGAGGTAGGTTAGGCAGAGAATACGTTTGTGATTGGCCAAACTCACACAGGGAAATTCATGGCTGAGTGGGAACTAGAACATGGATCTCCCAGTTCCCCAGTCTGACACTCTAACCACTGTACCACATTGGCTCTCTGTGACGCTATGTTCACTTATATAAAGTAAGCAGCAAACAAATGAAAAATATATCATTACATTGAAATTGTCTTAGTTGTGGTTCTGTAACTCAAATGTACTGGGAGATTACGTAGGTGTTTTTACAGCAACCCTCTTAGTGATGACTGGTACCTTTAATTATTGTAAGCTTGGCCATTTTTAATTTCCCTGTGATAACTTTTGGGATTATGAGCAATAAAATCTGATGTTCATAGCTCAGCAGTAGAGCACCTGCTTGGCATGGAAAAGTTCCCAGGTTTGGTCCTTGGCATCTCCAGGTAAGTCTGGGAAAGGGTCCCATCTGAAACGCTGGAGAGTGACTGCCAGGCAGTGTAGACAGTGCTCTGCTAGGTGGATCCGTATTCTGGCTTGATAGAAGGCAGCATCCTGTATTCCCATGTTCTGTGGTACATGTATTATTCTATTGTCATCTTCTTAGAGAGCCCTTGGGGTAATGAATGAGGAATGTAAGTTAAATAAATAAATAACATGTAGGTCTTCTAATCACCCCTGCCCTCAGCTGTGCTGTGGCAGCAGGGCTTAGAAACTGATTGTCAGCTTTTCCCAGTGGCAGAAGAGATCACGTCATCTGGTGGATGGAGTGGCTCAGGCAAAGACTCAGTGGTGGGGAAGAGTTGAGACCAGTGATGTCCCCTTAGCTCCCTCAAATATACAAATGTGTATATACACAAGCGTGATATATTCTTCCAGTAGCAGTTCCATGCAATACAAGGGGAGCTACTCTAGAGGATGCTTGTACATGGAGGCTTTTGCAGGGAGGCTAGAAGGGAACAACAGCTTCTGTGGTGGCGCCCCACCTATGGAATGCGCTCCCCAGAGAGGTCCGCCTGGCGCCATCGTTATTTGTTTTTCAGCGCCAGGCCAAGACCTTTTTATTTAAACGATATTTTAACTGTTAATTGTTGTCTTTATTTATTGGTTTTTATAGTTCTGCCGAGATGTATCCGAATTTTTAATGGTTTATTCTACACTTGTTTATTTGCTTTGTAAGACACCCCGAGGCTTTTTGTGAAGGGGACAGCATAAAAATGCTCTAAATAAATAAATAAACTTGAAGAAAACAAAGCAAAAAAGTTCCTTAAGAAACTGGAACAGTATTAAGCATTTTGGAACCAAGCTGTAATGAATATTTCTGAATGTACTTTAGTTAATTTATTATTATTATTATGCATTACATTCTATACTGCCCATAGCTGAAGCTCTCTAGTGGTTCACAACATTTTAAGTCACCCATCCAGATTTCAACCAAGCCCAACCTTGCTTAATTTCCAAGATGAGGCAGGATCCGACTCTTCCAGCTATATGGAAGCTCAAATACTGAAACATAATGGATAAAATCCAGGATAAATCCTACTTTGATAGAGCCACTCATTGAAAGGAACTTAAAGTAGAACTTTAAGGACTTAGGTTGGATTTAATCCAATGGATTCAGAATCTTTAGTATTGTTTAGTTACGTCTATGAATACTCCAAAAAGATAAACATTTTATATTTTATGGGAGAAAATGGTGTGACAGTGCAAAAATTCAGGAAAACTCATGTCCGGAGGATGTCTGTTCAGGTCCTGAAGATATCTTGCCTTGAAAATTCATGGTTTTCATAAGCGTTATTAGGAAAGTGCTAAAAGAATATTTTAGATATTTATTTTTCCTGTTATAGACTAAAACCTATGGTGGATCAGCTCTTTCTCCTATGCAAGCTCTGTATGTTTTTTTCTTTTTATTTTACTACTGAGTGAGTAAATACTTGGTTGTTCAGTGACACACAGTTACTGGCAGGTATTTATTTGAATGGCTTAAAAATTACTGTATTGAGTAGGACATCTTGACATCAACTTCTTTTTTTAAGGTTTGTCATGTTTCAGAATGGCCAAAGGAATGACTGACTTACAGTTATCATAAACTCAGCAAGTGATATTACTGAATAGAGAATATGAATGGAGTCTAAACAAACCTTACTACTTTTTTTTGTAGATGCAGGTGAACCTTTTCATATTCTGCAAATACTTTGCAATTGCTTTAAAAGGGAGTCATTTCTAAAAGAATCATACATGTTTCCCTGTATCTGTATGCTGCATAATTTAAGAAGCAATCCTATGCAAGTTTAGACAGAAAGCAAACCTACCACACCCAGCGTGCCCCAGCTAGCCACGCGGAAGTGGCTAGGATGGATGGACCTTCAAATAGAGAACTGTCCCCTGACAACCTTATAAATCGAGCACCATCTCCTGTCACCACTGAGAGAAGTGGAACTATTGGGTAGTATATAAAATAATAATAATAAATAAAGTAGAGCATAGGGCAATCATATTAATTGGATGGGTTCGAGGGGGGGGGCAAGGGGGACATTTCCAGAAGCAGAATTTGCAGTAAAGTGGTGGGTTACAGACCTGGTGTAGAGAAGACTTAAAAGTACTTGAAGGCTTTCCAGTTTGTTAGTATGCAACCAGTCTGTACCGCCATGCTATAGTGAAACTTCCATTTTGGTAATGTGCTTGTCTTCTAGTATCTGTCTGAGAACAGATTCTCTGCTCTTTAATATTTTATCTGCCAATGGATGTTTAATTTGCAAATGGGCAAACTTGCAAATTTTTCTAAATCTGAGTATAACTATTTCCAAAGCTAATGGCAATCTTTCTCTTTTATGGAAGTAATTGTTGCCTTCTTTTACATGTGCATTTTTGAGCTGAACTACATGTGATTCTGCATGTGTCTCCTTAGGTTGGATGAAGTTTTTAATAGACAAAAAGTAGCTGCAGGGACAGGATACTTGGGACTGGGTGGAAGGAGTTTAGCTTTATGTGTAGCTTAGCTCTCTGACAGCAACTGGTTTTCTCTAAATCACTGCTATGATAATTCTGTTTTTATCATTTTTAACCAGAAGAGCTATATCTTTCCGAGCAAAGGTATTTAATCTAAAATGCTATTGGAAAATGAAAACTACTACCAGTTTGCCATTGTGCTGTAAAATTATGTGTGGGAATAACCAAGTTGGCTTTAGGGAAGCAGGGACTCTTAATGTTGTGCTTTTAGGTTGCAGTCCTAACCAGTGTTCTGAGTTCGAAATTTTCTTCTGAGTAAGCATGGCTAGGATTGCTCTGTTGAACATCTCTATCCCTACAGCTCCAAATACTCATCTGTCATACCTTCTGTCGATGGGTGTCCTGTTCTCCCCTCTTCCCTAGAGTTCTGATAATTAAGATTTTTTAAAAGCCTATCTGGAGCGCCAAGAGAAAAACCCAGACAATCAAACAAGGTGCATATCTTGCAAGAGTAAGGGGATAACATGGAATGCAGTGTCCATCAGAAACGATGAAGAGCCTACTGGCACCCTAAAGGCAAGCCTGTATACCATGGCATAAGCTTTCATGGACCCAACTATCAGCATTTGTTGCAGTGCTATGCATGTTTATTAAGAAGTGAGTCATACAGTGTTCTGTGGGACTTAACTCTGTGGTAAATGTGCAGAGGATGGTACCTTTAGTATTTTTGTGTAATAGATAAATTAACAGGGTATAAGGTTAGTTTTTTTACTTATTTGGGCAAAAAAGAATTTGTAGATTTGCTTTTTTCTAGTTTCATTTGCACATACAAAGGGGTACAAGCTGAGGACAACCTTTTATGTTGCAGAGCTGTTTTATTTTGCCCAGATAGCAGGGCAAAATACAGGCTCTACAGATAGCAGGAAGCCTTGATGCTCTACAGATAGCAGGAAGCCTTTTATCCAAACTGGATTGCGTATAGGTATTTCCATTGTTTTATATATTAATACTTTGCCTTCTTAAAAAGAAAAAAACAAAACAAAAACAATAGGCCCTTTCCTCAAAAAAAGAAACCACAGAGGTTTCAGTTACATCCAAAAATAAACTACTTCTACTTTCTTCTTAATGTCTTTGGTTCATCAGAATTTTTTTGGAGCTTTGTTGGCTGTGGTGACAAATGCAGTTTAGTAAAAGGCTTCTCAGCAGAAACTGGATGGAGAGAGGAACCTCCTAATTTCTGAGGACTTTTATTTTAAATAACAAATTAGTTTAGTCTGTTGTCGAATGAATTACTAGTAGAAGAGATTTCCTTTACCAAGGATCATAAAGTGACTTTCCGTTTCAAAACCAACACTTAATAAAGGGGACATGTTGATGGCTCAGAATCCCATTGCAGGGATTAAAAGGAGAGTAAACATGAAAGTCTGGTATGGGACATTCTGGAGATGTGAGTCTTGCTCTAACAGAGCAATAGGGCTCTGGGTATTCCATTTGCCCCCTGAAATTCAAGTTATTCTCATATTCTAGAATGAAGAAATCCACCGAACTAGTTGAAATCCTGTGCATGTGTACTGGGGAGTTAAACCCATTTCAGTCACTAAGACCTACTTCTGAATAAAGATGCATATAGAGGACCTTAAATTCACACAGGGCTGGCTCCAGGTTTATGGGAGCTCTGAACAAGAGAGCCGTAATGCACCCCCTCTTTTCGCCTGCCATGGCTTCCCTTCCTTGCCTGGGGCTCTGTTCCCTTCCTGTCAGCATCACTGGTGGTGTTGCCACAGGTGGGGGACATGAGAGGCACTGAACAAAGCCAGGTAGTGAATTCTGGCCTCACTGTTGATAAGCAAGTCCAGTATCAGCACTTGGTTTGGGGGCACCAATCAGAATGTGTTGCCTGCCAATTTGTGGGCAGGTTGCAGCAATGCCAGCTGTGGAT